CACACACACACACACACACACACACACACACACACACACACACACACCGGCCATGCTGAGCACAACCTTTGTGCCAGGTTCCCTTTCCTGCCAAACCTTTCCGATCGCTAAAATAACAACTATCAAAAGCAACCCCACCTCCCGCCCCACCTTCCCCCCACTCCCCGACACCCCGCTCCAGCTCCCTGCCGAGGAATAAAAGGCCACAGGCTGGCGAGCAGCGGCGGATAATTGATTTTACCGGTGGGGGCGGGTGGAGACGGGCAATTTGCGTTTGAATGTGATCTTTAGGAGAGCAGGCGAGCAGCGGGTGCGGAGGGATGGGGAAGGGGCCCCAGCAGAGCTGGCAGCCCACGCTCCCAGCGCCGCCGCGCAGAGCATCGCTCACGGCACGTGCCGGGCGGGAGCCGGGGGAACAGCATCCCGGTGCTTCCCAGCTTCCCCGTCCTGACGTTTAATCCTGGCTGCTGAAAGAGCTGAGCTGTTAATATCGCTGAATCCTTGGGGGGGGGGGGGGATTAGGGGGGGGGGGGGGGGCAAAATGCTTCATATCCAACTTGCCCTGGATCAGAGATCAGAGCCATCATCAGTCCTGCAGTGCTGCTCTCCCCATCCCACTGGGAACGCCACAGTGTGACGGGCTTGTGGGTTCCTGTAGATCCCTGGGACTCATCTTCTCTATTTTTTTTCCTAAAAACACGTGTGATACTTTTGCAGTGGCAGGATAGTCTGCAGCAGAGAGTGCAGCAAGCAGGGATGCCCCCCTTCCCCAGCTGGGGGTTCCTGCCTCAGTCACACGTTTTCACTGCAGAACCCAACATGAGGTTGGAGCGACATAGATGTCCCAGATCCACTGGAGGCTGGGGAACCCCGGCCACTCCTGGTCCCAGCGCCCACAGCCACTTGCTCATCTATTTATTCGAACTGAATGGCGAGAAAAGGGGAGCCGTGGGAAGCGGGATAAAGCAGCCGTGATGGGAGAGCACAGGGTTTCATATCCCCGGCTGCATTCCTGGCTTTTGCCTCCTTCAGACCTTCCTAACAGAAACCAAATGTCTGTTTGTGGTCTGTAAAGCACAATCAAGACGCTGTGAGCCTGGAGGGTGGGTGGAACATGGAGCACTGGAAGCAGGTGCAGAACACTTCGGGGTACAGGACACTTGCCATAGCCCCATCCTAGTTCCAGTGGGGTCCTTCGGTGAGTCTGCACTGTCCGGGAACCCACTGTGTTGGGTGTTCTACACCCAGACAGGCTCTACTCCCTATGCCAGGCTGCTCTCTTGCTTCTCAGCCCCATGTGGGATCTTTCCAGCCTATGGGAAAAAAATCCCCCCTTGGCTCCATCTAAATGCAGCATTTCCTTCTCCGCAAAGGCAGGCATCCTCTTCTGCACCAGGAGCTCATGAGGCTATGCAGGGAGCACTGGGGGTGCCAGGCAGGGAGCTCAGCCCCATCTTGGTTCAAGAAACCCCTCTGGAAGAAAGGAATCATGCCCTGTTCCCCGGCCATGGGCACCAGCGTGTCCCTTCCTTCCCAGGGCGGCAGGTCTTTGGATGGGGATCACCAACACCCTGGTGGGAGTTGGGCCCCTATCTCTGCCTGGCTTTGGATGAGACAGCATGTCCCAGTTTGAGCACAGGATGGGGACATCACCCGCAGGGCCATGGGTACAGACCATGTCCTTGTTCCCCTGCTGGCTGCCAACACAGGGCAATGCTGGACCCACAGCCCAACAGCCAGCCCTGTCCCTGCAGCCTTGAGCCCTGGCACTGCTGAGTCCCAGCCCTGCAGCCTCTGCCCCTTGGTCCCCAGTCCAGGCATGACCCCATGCCTTGTCCCCACGGCCTCCCCCCCCAGCCCAAGCAGTGGCTCTGCCACCGGGATGCTCCGCTTCCCCCTTTTTCACACCTTCCCTGCCAGCGCCTGGCTGTGCTGCTGCCGCCCTCCCTCTCTTCAACACCTCCTCCTCCTCCGAGGCATTTTATCTTCTTTCTAGAGAGAAGAGTGTGGGCTGGGGATTTTTTGTTCCTCCATTTTTTATTTTTTTTCCCTTTTTAATAAGCCCCCTCTCCTGCAGCTCCAGGAGCGGAGGGGCTGATCGTAAGGCTCAGCACGGTAATTGTCTCCAGCCTCTCCCTGAACCTGCTGCGGGGGCGGATTTGGAGGCGCCGGTGGAACTGCACTTCATGTTTGTCCTACTCTGGGGGGCCGTGGGCAGGATCTTCTCCCTGTCCCTCGATGCTGTCCACCGCCCTCTGCAAGCGTGGGGGATCGGAGCAGCCCTTCACTTGCTCCTCTTTGCGGGGGCTGCTGCAGGAGCAGGTTTTCCCCAGCTCCATGTCCCCCGCTTGGAACAGATGCCTTCCCATGCTTGGGAGGTGCAGGGATGTGCCAAGGGCTTGTGCTCCACGGAGCAGGCTCTGCAGACTCTTCTCCCCATCTCTGCCTGCCCCCAAAGCCCCATCATGGTGCTACCACGAGGTGTGCATCTCAAACCCCACCTGCCTGGGAGTCAGGATGGGTGACAGCCGAGGAGATGGCACAGGAACAGGGTGGGCGCAGCAGCCTGGCACCCACCACCCTCCCTCCTGCCAGCCAGGCTGGGGACAGACTGTATCCCCCCCAACAGCCCATCCCAGTTCCTCAGGGACAGCAAACTCAAGATGGACCCTTTCTGCTCCAAATCCTTGCAGGATGCTGCTCCCGATCAGGGTCTGGTGGGGGAAGAACCATTCTGCCCACCCCTGCCAGGACACCCCCACCCCAAACGGCACCAGGAGCGTCTCTCCGGAGGAGGAACGGCACTTCTCACGGTGAGCAGCTGCCGCAGCAGAGCAGAGGTGCGGCACTTCGTCCTGATTTCCCTCTCTAAGCCCATGAAGCGGAAATTTCCCCATGGGAAACCGCTGATTTTTGAATGTGCCAGGATGTGCTGGAAACCATCCCAGTGGAAAATCCCCAACCAGCCCCACGGCACCTTGGCTAGCCTGGTGGAGCCCCTAACTCGGGAACACACCTCAGTGCTGCGGTGGTACCTGCCCTCTTTGGTGGATGGAAAAGCCGTGGGATGCTCCGAGCTGGGAATGACGCCCCTGAATCACCCTGGGGGTGGGGTGGCTGGGTACGATGCTCACAGGGGCTGGTGAGCTGCTGCACCAGCTTTGCTCCTTTATTTGTGAATGCATTAAAATGTATCTGTCCAGGTGGTTTTACACCACAGCGCCGGGCAGTGCAGGCAAACCCTGAACCTGGGTGCTCAGCCCTCGGTGTCGACACCCACCCAGCAAAATGTCACATCCCAGACACCTTCAGGAACCCTCCCAGTCCTCCCCCATCACTCCTGGCCTGCAAACTCCCCTCCACATCCCTGCAACCACCTCTGCCCAGCCAGGGCCCTGCAGCCTTACTGCAGGCACCCAACAGCCACTGCCTCCCCTGCCCAGCCCCTGCCACCACCACAGAGCCTCAGAGCCCTGAAAAGCCAAGAAAACTCTGGAAAAAGCAGGTCCCACATCCCACCTTGCCCCATCTCCCCAGCGGGTGCCCAACCCCCTGCCCACAGTGCCAGCTGGGGCTGTCCCCACCACAAGGACCCACTCCCCAACCCGCTGCTCCCCGCCAGCCCCTCACAGCCACCCTGATGCCATGGGAATGGATGTGAGTATCCTGGGATAGGGGGGCTCCACTCGCCTCCACGGAGCTGCACTTTGTAGCAGCACCCTGGTGCTGTGGTTTGGCTGGGGAATGTGAACAGCGTTCAGCCCAGCACGAAGTGCTCCCTGTCTCAGCCTCTCCATTTCTCCATCTCTGCCCTCTCCTTTCTCCTTCGCCCCCATTTTCAGTGCCCATGTGTGTGTGTGTGGGCACACGTTTAGACACAGGCTGCCCTGCACCCAGGCGATGCAGGGCTGCGGGGTTGGAGCATGTCCCTGTGCCTAGGGATGGACACAGCTTCCCATCTGGAGCACAGGCACCAGTTGCCCAGCACAGGCACCCTGAGCCCGCCACCACCTGCCAGCCACTCCATGGGGACGGTGGCCACACGCCCCAGATTCACACACCAGCTCCAAAAAAAAAAGGCACAGAAAGCAAAACAGAGGCACACGGCTGCTCACTCCTGCGCCCGTTTTACAGCCACACGCTGGGTGAGACGCGGAGCATCCCTCTGCACGGAGATCCCTCTGCACGGAGGACCTGACATCCCCTGCTCCACCCCGGGGGGCTCAGTGCTCCCCGGGATTGCCTCTCCGTGCACAGGCAGTTCTGTTTGCACGCACACACACACACGCACACACACACACACACAGATCCAGGCACACGCGGTGACACCCGGACCTGAGACCTGAGCCCTCCCCAGCAGGAGGGTCAGGCAGGGCTGTGGCTCACCCGCAGTGGGACAGGGGCAGGGGTGGGGGACATCCTGGGTCTGTCCAAGACCTGCCAGGATTCTCTGGGGGCTGCCGTGCAGGCTGGGTCTCCTGCAGCACTAGTAACCCCGGTAAATCCATACAGAGAAATTCCCTAAAGAAATGTAAGGGGCGCCCGATGTATTTGGAAATGTAGGGCTTTCCTCCTCGGCTGTCCCATCCCTCCTTCCGGATGGGGAACTTCCCGAGGGAACCAGCAGCACCCTTTTCTGGGAGCAGCTTTTCCATAAAAGAGACGGTTGCCCCCTCCCCAGGCAGCTCCAGACTTCTGGGTGCCCCGTGCCCCCAGCCAAACACCCACCAGCAGCCCCTGAACTCAGGGAGGGACAGAGAGGCAGATCTGGGGCTGGCAGCCCCCATCCTCACCCGAGTCCCCCCAGCGATCCCCACTGCATCTTTCCGTGCCCATCTCGTTTCCTGCATCTCCAGCAGTTCCCAGCACTGCTGAGGGTCTTTCCCAGCCAGGGAACAGCCCCGCTCCAAGCATCCCAGCCCCGTGTCCAACTTACTTGCCCAGTTCCTCAAAGAGCTGGTACTCCTCCGTGAAGCGATTGCAGGTGATGGTGGCCATCCCGAGGGGCTGGAAATGCTCCCTCCCCAGTGCAGAGTTTGGGGCAAGCAGTTCTCCTCTCGCTCCCTCCCTCTCCGTGTGCTCCCGGGGCTCTCTCCTCGCCGAGGTAAATAAGGGAATATGTTTGATTGACAAGCCCAGAGATAATGATGAGGGCAATTTGTCTTCTCAGCTTCACAAGCCTTCGTCAGCATCCCCGTCCCCATGGTGACCACCGCTGCCAGAAACGCCCTGTTTCTGTTGCCGGGGCAACTGCTTCCCAAACCCGCCACCCTCCATGGGGACCGTGGCCCTGCTGGGGACCCAGCCCGGGGGCTGCCTGGGGGTCACCCACCTGCTGCAGAGGGGAGGGAATGTCTAAAATACAACTATTAAAGGCAAATTAAAGGATGTGGCAGTGGTAAAATAATTGGGGCAAAAAGGGTTTCCATGGAAACCGTGGTTTCCATGTTGCAGGAGGATGCTGTCACCCTGGTAACAGCTTATCTCCACCCCCCCCATAAAAAAATACAGGCCCTGCTGGTGCCCACAGCAGCATTCCTTGGGGTCCTGGGGCGCTGTGGGATGGGGACATGCTGCAGCAGGAGGGAGCAGATGGAGCAGAAGTGTGTCAGGAGAAGATGGAGAAACCATGGCAGGTCCCCAGGTGCCCACAGTGTCCCACCTTCAGCCAGGGTCCCTGGGAGGGCTAGCCCTGATCACACCACAGGGGAGAACTGGCTGCTCCCTGCTCCCCACCTTTGACCACTGGGTCTCCCTATGGGCTCTGGGCTTCCCAGGGAGCAGGTCCTGAGGGTCCCCCACACAGTGGGGTGAGTGGCTTGGCCTGAAGCAAAACTAGAGGGGAGCAAAAAGGCTGTGTCCTGGGGTGCTTGCTGCCCCAAGCTGGGGCAGATGGAGGGGATTTTAGAATGGGAATAGGAGGAAGATCTGGCCTCCTCCTCCTCCGACTTTTTGCTGCTGCCATGCCGAACATAAGAAAGCACAAAAAGCACAATAAAAGTAGAGTCATGAGGTCCAAACCTCAGGGAAGGCGTTTCCTGGAGCCCCCACCAGCATCCACTGAGGATCCTGCACCCCCTCCTCCGTTTACACCACCCCTTGCACTTTCCACCTGCTGACCACCCCCCCAGAAGAGCTTTCTACTAAGCTTTTGTCCTGTTTCCAGATGATTTTGCAGCAGCAGGGCCCCCGAAGCGCCAGGAGAAGGAGCTCTCTGTGCCAGTTGGGAGGGCATTGCCTTTGGCAGCTGAGATGGATTGAATTCCCTTTCAGGCTGCCATGGAAGGGTTAAAAGGAAAAGAAAAGGTTCTAACCAGACAAAAATAGGGAGAAATCTTTGAGAGGGGAGAGAGAAGGAGGAGCGGAGAGGGAGAGAAGAAAGGAGGTGGAAGTGGAGGAGGACAGCAAGTGGTGGAGTGAGGAAGAGGAGGGGGAGGAGGAGAAAGGTCTAATGGCTTTTCCATTAATTGCACCATTACCCACCTTCATCCCCACCTTGCATTCCTGCATCCAGCCTCCTGCTCCCGTCTGGTCCAGCCAGAGGAGACCCTGCATCTCTGGTGGCAGGGCAGAACCTGATTCCCAGCTGTGGACAGGCACAGGGATGGGGCCACAGTTCCCAAGGGTTGATGGCCTCCAGACCCACCTTGGCCATGCTCTGGCATTGGCAGAACACACCAGGCACCCTCCCTTGAGGTGAGGGTGATGCATTTGTGCCCTCTGTGCCCTGGGGATATGGTGGTCCCCAAAACACCTCCCAGCCCCTGCACAACTCCTTCCCATCTCGCTCCCACTCAAAAGGGGGTTTCATTCACCACCCCCAGGGCTGTGTCGGGAGGTGGGTGCTGCTGTGGGGGCCAGTGTGTCCCGATGCTTGTGGGAGTGCTCTCCTCCTCCAGTAGCAGCCTCCAGCAGCCCCTCGGAGCCGAAGGGCAAGAGGAAGAGCCCCCCCACTCCAGAGACCACATGGATGCCCGTGAGCAGCTCTGTGCCCCCACCCCACTCCTGCCTGTGCTAATGTTTGTGTCCCGTGGGCTCCGCAATGTGACCTGCCCCCCTCCCGCGCCCACCCCCACGCTGGCACACGTGTTCCACCCCACACGCGTGACTCTGCGTGCTCCCGTAGCTGGGAGGAGGGATCTGTCCCTTCCTTCCCCCCAGGACTCCCACTGCACCCATGATGATCCCCATGGCACAAACCCCTCACCCAGGCAGGGGGTGATGGCAAAGCCCCCCATGAGAACCCTGCCTCCCTCCCCACGATTCTCCTGCCTGGCAGAGACACAGCTCTCCAGGAAAGTTTTCTCCCTCCGTCCTCTCTCTTCAGGATCTTTTTTTGCTTTTCCTCGACATTTTTCCCTCTGAGGGTAAGGGGATGTCAGACTTCTGGGTGCTGAACATGCTTTGCTTTGCTGATGATGTTTTCCCAAGCAGGAACTGCTGCATAGTTCTGCTCCTGGCTGCCTGGAGACAATCCAAGGGGAGCAGGAGCTCTGGGTGAGACCTTCCCCTTCTGGGCTGGGGGCTCCCCTGTATAGGGGAGTAGTCCCACCCCTCTCCAAGAGTCCTCAGGATACACTTAAGATGTCTCTGTTTCCAGCCATCCCAAGGTTTGCTCCTGCAGGGCTTTGGGAGACAAGCTGCTCTCCTGCTGCCGTGCTCGGGTCTGGCCACCTGATGGAGACCTTCATCCCCAGTGATCCTCCCCATCACTGGGCTGCTCTCCCCACCTTTGCTCCAGCTCTACCTGCAGAGATTTAGTTTCTGCATCCCAGCCTGGGGCTGCCCCAGGGTGGGCACCTGAGATCTGATGCAAAACCCCAAATGCACTGGAATGTCAGCTCAGGGAGGACCAGTGTGTCCCGGGGGAGCTGCAGCAGGTCCCCTCTGCTCCCAGGGGATTGGGCTTGCAGCAGAACTAGCAGGGCTGCAAATTACGTATTGCAGACATCCCAAAATTACTGGGACAGTTTCACATGCAAGCTGGGGTCTGGGGGATGCTCAGTTGCTGTCCTCTGGGAAGCTGAATTTGGGGTTATTTTTAGATAAGATTATAAATACCGTGGTAAGAACTGATTTACATTTAGGGTTGTGTTTGCAAACGTGCCCTGTCCCTGTGGGCCCCAGCACTCGCTCTTGCAACCACAGGAAGCTGGTTTTGGCTGAGACAGGGTGTTCTCAGTGCCACCCTCTCCTCGACAGCAGGGTCCATGGGCAAAGACCCTCCTGTGGACATGCCGTGATACTTGGGGACACTCAGCAGGTGCCATGTGGCTCCCTGGGGCCTTCATGTGCTGGTTCTGGGTGAGGAAAAACCTCCAAAAACCACATGTCCCTGGATCTCTGGAAGGAGAAAGGAAAGAGTGCATTTGGTCCAGAACAACCTCTCCCCACCATGAAGTGCTCGGGGTGCTCTGCCACCTCCCACTGTGGCAGTTTGCTGAGATATCCATCCCCTGTCCTGCTACTGGGCTTATTGCCTTCCCTCTCTCAGGGGGGGCTCTGAGGTACCTCCAGTCCTGTCTGATCCATCCCGTCCTCATTCCACCCACATCCTATCCCCACTCCTACCTCTATCCCATCCCAACTCCATCCCATCCATATCCTCATCCCCATCCTATCGCCCTCTCCACCCCCACCCCATCCCATCCCCACCCTCCTCTTATCCTCCTCCCCATCTCCAGCCCATCCATTCCCAGCCCATCCCCATCCCACTCCCTCCAGCCAGCAGGGTGGAGGCAGCCAGTCCATCCTGACATTGGAGCCCAGATGCATCCCCCTGCCCCATCCCTCTGCATGCCCCCATCCTACACCCAGTTCCTGCTGGGGTCTGGAGCAGCCAGGGGCTCACCCAGCACTTTGAATGGAGGTTGGGAAGGAGGGGAGCCTCAGCCTGTCTATGCAGACGTGTCTCCCGGGTGCAGGGAGCTCCACCACTGAGCATCTCTCCAGCTGCATTAACCCCTCACCAGCCAGAGCACACACACACTCCCAAGGGACTTCAACTGTGTGAAAACACGGGATTGTGGCACATTGCTGCATTTTTCCCCAGAGAGACCACTAAAGAGCATTGCTGGGATGAGGAGCCCACGCAGCAGCAGCCGTGTGTCCATTCCCAGCCCAGTGTTCAGATACAGCACAGCTGGAATCAGTGGAGAAGGACAACTGCTGTCCTCAGACTCGAGGCTTCACACTCCGCGAACACCCAGAGATGCTCCTGCCTACTCCTCCTCTTTGTTTTCAGGGACTAAGATTTTCCTTCAACTGTTTCTTCTCAAAAAGATTCAGAACCCAACTTTTTTTAATTAAAATACAGATGACGGCAGATCCACCGCTATGTCCAGGCTGACTGTGAGCCCGGCACCAGCCCAGCACATCCAAAACTGGAAAGGAAGCAAGGCCAGACGAACCTTCTCATGGGGATATTAGTAAAAGTGAAGGGAGAAAAATCAAACATGTTTTCATGGAAATTTCCATTTTTGAAGAAAAAAAAATAAAAGAAGGACTAAACTTGGATGCATTTATATAAATATGGAAATGAAAGCCGTTCCCCGAGCCTTGTCGCCACCCCACGTCCAGCCCTGCTCTCCTGCTCCCTTCGGCACCAACTCCCCCTTTTGCCATGATTTATTCCTGAGCCCCCTGCAGCATCACCCCCTGCCCTCCTCTGGCTCCAGCTCTGTCTGCAGCAGCCTCCTCTTCTTCAGCAAATTGTTGCTTTATTTTCAGCAACCAGTTGGGTCTGCCAAATGGGAGCCAGTGCCACAGCCCTGCTGCTGGTGGATACGCTGGTGGTGCACATCCCGAGGGACCAGGCTGGCCACTTGAGGTAGTTTGAGGATGTGGAGCATCCTACCAGGGCTCACCTCTGCCCAGGTGATGCCATGGGGACCAATCCCCTTGGAGCAACATGCTAAGGAAGCAGGGATGGAGATGGGGTTGATGGAGGAGCTGAGTCCCCCTCTGAAACCTGTTCTTGGGATGTGCCTGTAGGGATGCGAGGGGGCCGACGGGATGGCACGGTGATGGATGTACGTGGAGCAGCAGGGACTGCCACACACACCACCACACTTTGGCTTTTCAAACTCCTTCCCAGTTCTACAAGAAGAGGCCTCCTCTCTTCTGCCTTGCTGGCAGCTGGGGTGTTTTTTTCTTTGTTTCTATAGAAAATCCCAATTCCCCCAAATAATCCAGCTAAGAGTAA